GATTGTTGTTGGCATTCCCAGCTTCACTCCCCTCTTCATACGAGGATGTCATGTGTGAACCTCTACTCACACCTTGACCAGGTGCCAAATTTGTTGTATCTCCGCTATCTTCGCCAACCTGTTTCTCAACCTGTTCTACCCAACATAAATATCCTCCACATCTCAAACACGCATAGTAGGGCTTCATGAAGTTCTTTCTTGACTTAGACACCTTGTATTCAAAATCTGTGTAAGATTTGCATACTTGGCAGCAGAGCTTCCCCTTCGTTGCAAGTGAATTCTCGATTGATTTCATATTTCCTTGAAAAAATTATGTTCTTTGCCCTGCATAATCATCACAGAATAGATCATTTACATACAATTAGAGATATTATTATGGAACCCTAGGTCTAAATGTACTTTTAGAGTGTGATTCTAAAAATATTAGTAATACCTTAATATGTGAGTCTTATTCTTCGTCCCACACAAAATTTAGAACCCTTCTTTGATTTTTACTCTCACTGAGCAATGAGCATCGGTCCAATGAAAATCAGTTTGGCCCTTTCATTTTCTACTTTTCCAACGGAAAAACTACGAAATACTAGTGCATACCTGATTTTTTCTTTTTTTTTCTTCCTCTTTGGCTATGGCGGATGGAGAGCTCTGGATCCCAATTAGGGTTAGCCGCTGAGAAGGTTCGCGTAATACGGATGTCGATACTTAGGGATAGAAATATGTCGTCTAATGTATTAATCTGTATTAATCCACGTGTAATTGCCAAATCAGATACCGTTAGTCGTACGTTAGGCTTTAAACGGATGCCCAGTTCTGACAGAGACGGTACAACCTTGGCTTATTACTGACCACTCGGAAAGGTGGGATTATTTTTGAAAGAGAGGGCAAAGGTGGGATTATTGGTGATAATTTTTCCTTAATATAATGAAATAAATTTTTGTATTGCATATTAATATAATGGAATAAATTTTTGAAAGTTCTAAAGATGTTAATATATTAAAATTATTTTTATACTAATATACATTATACGGAGTAGTTTTTACTTAATTAAGGTTCAAAGTTCGTCCAATTTGACTCGAAAAAAGTTAAATTGAACGAATACCCTAAGACGAAGATAGTATTAGTCATGTCTCCTCTTGTTTTGAGAATTTTGTGAAGTACTTTTTAAATACCACGTATGTAAATTTATTTTAATTTCCACACCAATTTAAAGATAAATTAAATTAAAATAATTTCAGTCAAATATCGTAAAATGCAATGAAAACTTATTTTCTGAAGGGAGCTAGGGAGTATCTTTATATATTATGGTTACACTATAGGTTTCACAAGGAAAATTTAAAAGTGTTGAGTTTTTTTTTTCATATCGATAAATATATAAAATAAAATCAGATGTGATAGAATCTTGTTAGATAATAATAATAATAATAATAATAATAATAATAATAATAATAATGTGATAGCTTTAACAATTTTATGCAAGTGTCGCGACTTGGAGATAGCAGTCCCTGATTTAATATTGGCATCACCTTCACTTGTGTGATTGAGTTTATTGATTTTTCCTCCATATGCCCATTTTCAATAGTTTGCTTTACTCTGATACCATGTTGGAATGATATCATAATGCAATTACTTGAGAATAATAATGAAAAAACAAGAGTATCTATATAGGTTACGTTCCTACCATGAACAGGAATGGGAAACCGATCAATAATCTAACACTACCATTATTATTACTATTAGTATTAGGGCATTGCTAAATCCACCAAAAAAAAGCTACATCCACCCATTTCACTTAAATTTTCTAAATCCACACCAATGTTTAGCAAATTTAAGGAAAAAGTGTGAATATAGTCATGTTTAGGGTGGATTTAGCAATACCCTTAGTAATGTTTTGGAAAAGCAGTCTAAAGAAGCCCAAAAGGAAAATGAATGCTTTCCTCCCCCAATCAAAGGATGCAATCTTTCACTTCGATTCTTAGTAAGTTGGTAATGACAATGAAAAGTGATCATTTATAACATGAAATTTTACACGTATCAATGACAAATTTTACTTTTTATTAATTAGTCTAAGATTAAAAGTTAATTTACGACCAATCTTGAGAATCTGACAATGGAACTCAACTTTTTTTTTATTAGAGCTGTAGGAAGGAAATTGTAAATGGAGTGACAAGTACATATAACACTAGCGGACGTGATAGTACTATTGCATCTTAATAGTTCTCCTAATTAACGCTGGTAATTAATTAACACAGATTACTCCGGTATTATTATTTATTAGTTAATAAATTAGATAAATTTTAATGATAATGATCCGACATCATACAATCTAACTCATCACTACCCTCGGACAGTCTTAACCATTCACTGCCCAAAAAGAAAATGTTTGAAATTAAGTGGACAGTTTCACACAATTAAGTGCAGACAAATATATTAATAACGTGTTGATGAATTTCTTAATAACGCATACACACACACACACACTCTGACTAGAAACAGCTATTAGCTATAGATACACGCATATTAGCATCATATCACACTTTCTCCCTAGTGGTGCTTATTGGAAATTGAGTTATTGTTGATAAACAGTTTTAAATTTATATTTTACTTATAAATTAAATATTCTTTCATAGAAATAAAATGACTTAAAGGATAGATCAGATATATCATTTGGAGATGTTCATAAACGGTGATGGATAATTTTATAAATAATTTGATCAAAACGGAGAAACAAAAATCCCGATTTAATAATGAGCCGGTAGGACCTTATTTTTGTTTGACTTGTAAGCAACGTATAAGCAAATAGAATTATGGAAACATGTCAGCTGATGACTTGTAATTTATAAGTTAAAGATAGTTTATAAACAATTTTGGCCAACTTATAAGCACATAGAAAAATTAAATTATTTTTAATACTATTAAATTTAGTTTAACATTCATTTAATCAAGTTGGGTATGTTTCGTTACTTGTCCATTCAGTTTAGTTGTTAAACGGCTCCAATTCCTCGTAGTCTCAAGATTAATTCCTCAAAATGAGATTATATGTGATTGAACAATTCATTACAATTTGGACTAGGGACTGGAGATGTCGCGTTCCACCTTTTTTTTAATGATGAACAAACACTTCGTAAAGAACCATAGTCCATTTCTCGGGTGGCGTAACTTGTAAGCAAATTAAACACTAAACAAAGATGAAAAAGTTGGGCGGAAATTAAGTGTCTGTTTGGGAACAGTGTTAGCGATTAGCGTTAACGTTTTGAAAAAGCTATCTACGGGCAGCGTTTAGCGTTAGCGTTTTCAAAGCGATCTGCACCATTAAAATTTTATCCAAAACGCTAACGCTAATCTCTAACGCTATTCCCAAACAGGCCCTAAGTCTTTATGGGAGTGTGAGGGAGGTAATTAAAACATTTATAGTCCGTTAGTTCCAAAAATATATTTAAGTCTGACTTTTCACCGTCAATGATGTGATACTCTGTAATACTTTGATTAATAGGGGAGTATAATTTCACATAAATAAATGTTACCTGATATATTGAAATTAAACTTAAAATAAGTTCAGTTATGATGATGATACGCCTCTGCTTTCAACTTCACATTTGGGGAAGAGAAAAAATGTAACCTATGGGCTATTGGATCCTAGCGGCGTAACGAAGAGAAATTGTAGTGTTTGTAAAAGTCTATATAGTTTTTAACGAGGGTGAGGATGTGCTTTGTTCGTTTGATCTGATCAATTTTGATTTTTTGAAGATCTGGTTTAATATGATCTGTTCTGGTCTAATTATTGATTTTAATAGCAAAAAGTAATAAGCTGGAAAAAAAGGTTGAACAGAACGCAACCCGAATCATCTGAAATGTTTTAAATTAAAGTTTCTAGAGAAATGCAAATTCTCGAGAAACATGTAGAAGGGTGGAGTTTTCTAAAATATTTTGGAAGTAACATCGGAAGAAGATCGAGAACTATAAATTGCAGAGCCCTCTATATAGAATGTTTCGGAAACTTCATGGTTGAATCTAGAGAATGACGATAACTAACGAGAAGAAAGTCCTAAAGAAGAAGGCTAATCTCCAATTTCTTAAAGATTAATATAAATAAAAGGGGAGAGTTTAGTTTCTAGACATTTTGGAGAGGCATATAGTTAAAGATGTGAGAGTGAGTATCCTCAAGAGATGAAGTAATTTAAAAATGATTGGCTTCTTAAAAGTTTTGTTCAAATGATCTTTTAAATTTACAAACATATTATGTTTAGTACAAAAACTAAGAAAGTTGTTCTCAATAATTTCACACATGTACTGTACATATGTAAGAATTGAAGGGTTAGATTAGAATGAAGATGAACAGCTTGTAATGTAGGTTTAGAATTAGAATACCCATTGCCAGCTAGCTAGCTAGCTACAGCCCACAAATCCCCACACAAACACAAAGAACCTATTTAATTAAACCCTGCAAGACAAGAATCTTCATGCCCAGCATCTTTCTTGAGTTTCATACAAGTCAAGATAATTCCCAGGTTTTTACAACTACCTATATATAAACAACACCCAAACAGACACACCAGAAACAAAAAAAAATACAATCTTGAGTATATCTTGATCATCACCACCATCACAACTGCCACCATGCCGCCAGCGCCGCCAGCACAACGCTCTTCCCTGCCGCGACGCATTGCCATGGCTCTTCTGGCACTCATCCTCCTCCTGGGCCTAGTCATCCTCATCATCTGGCTCTCAGTCCACCCAAGAAAATTCCACTACTCCATCGAGCACGCCGTGATCAGCAAGTACAACCTCACCAACAACCGCCTCAACTCCAACTTCTACATGGTCCTCCGCGCGGAGAATCCCAACCGGAGGATGTCAATGTACTACGACAGGATCGACGTCACGGTGTTGTACGAGGACCAGAAGCTCTCCATCAACAATGTGCACCCATTCTATCAGCCAAGGAGGAACATCACCCACTTGGACATGTATTTGGTGGCCAAAGATGCCACGGTGTATGGCGCCGTGGCCAGGGACTTGGGAATGCACCAGGCGTCAGGTGGGGCTTTAAGCCTGGACGTCAAAATTAAGGCCAAGATCAGGCAGAAGGTCGGGGTTTTCAAGATTCATCGCAAGCTTAAGATCTTCTGTGGGAAGGTGAATGTGCCGTTCGATACTAAGAAGGGGTTTCAGAGGGTCTTCTGTGACGCGGATCTTGATTAATTAAGAGCTATATATACACGCCAAGATTTATGGGAACTTACGTCTGGCTTGATGATTGATTATTTTTTTATTTTTTAAGAGTGTTCTTCCATGTATGTTTTGAGTGTATCTGTTTTCTATTTCTTGCACATTTCTTGAAATTAAATTGTGTGATTCGTAGTATATGATTCTCCATTGAGTTGATTTTTTTTTTGGAGGGTGTTGGGAGGGTTGAATAAAATCCTGGGAAATAGATACGAAATGGTTTGATTTCATTAGCTAGAAACATTATTATTTTGAGAAAGATGGACACAACAACAATACCACACCCATACTTGGAAGTAGACAGACAGTTTACAAAAGAAGTAAAGAACCATGGTTCAAGAAGGACAGGGGCACAAACAAAAGCTTAGAACAAAGACACACACAAAAGTAGTAACTAAAATACATCTTATTGGGTATTGTGTATGTAGTTGGTTTCTGACAACGATCCAAGCAAGCAAGCTAGAGAGGTTTCAATGTTTCAAGACAGTTTGGAAGCTGCATCCTTGTCCAAAAACCAGGTCAACTTGTCCTCGGCTGAAACCTCGGTACAAGGAGGGGGTATCCCATCAGGGGGCACCCCGTCACCCAGAGCAATATTCACCATGTTGGCCAACTCAACACCGGTGATCACCATTGCGTTCTCCGAAGCAGAGTTGATCACCGGGAATGTGAATGTGATCCTCGGGGGCGGTGGTTTAGGCGAGTCAGTGATGAAAGTCACCCAGCGCTCCTTCTCGTGGCGCTGGGGGCGGTTTGGGAATAGAGAGGCGACGTGCCCGTCGGGTCCCATGCCTAGCAGCATGAGATCAAATTTGGGGAATCCCGTGGGGGAGAGGGGTAGGATTTTGGACTCCACCAGCTGCCTGAGGCGAGCTTCGTAGTCATCTGCAGCACCTTCGGGGGTTTTCTTGTCATTTATTGCGTATATGTTTTCAGAGGGAATTGGAACCTGTATCCAAAATGCCAGTTCTTGCTTAATGAGAGGAGGTTTTGTCATATTATTTGGCTAGAAATGGATCTTATCTAATGTTCTTCTTTTCAAGAAATTCAACCAGTAATTCTTACCAGAAATAAATTCAACCAAAAACGCAAGTTTTTGACATCTAACTAAGCAAATTTCTGATACCAAGTTAAGGAACAAACTCAAATTTCAAACAAAAGATCAAACTTGGGATTGATTGAAGGCCCAAAAATGTTTTTTTTGATCCCTAATAAAACGGAACTCATATTTGCAGAGAAGCTAACCTTGGAAAGAAAACCATTGAAGGCAAGAAGATAATTGCTGTCCGGGTTATCCAATGGAACCACCCGCTCGTCAACCCAAAAGATCCGCCATTTCGCCCAATCCACCGATTCCTTGGACGGCGCCTCCACCAGTTTCCTGTCCAACCAACGAAACCCATCAATTATGTCCGACAACAAAACCTGCAAATGAAGAAGATAATAATCATTCTGTAATATCACCTCATGGTGTCGATTAGAGAGCCTCCGGAGAGGACGACGGTGAATGAATTCTTCAATGCGATGAACTTCGCCGATAGATCGGCGGTGTATTTTGCCAGAGCCACCGCCACGTCATCCTCCGAATCGAACTTCAAGACTGACTTTTTACCTCCTCCGGTGGCCATCGGGAGAAAAAAGCAGGGATCTTGATGGCGGATTACGGCCAAGGGTTAGTTGGAGATTTATATAAGATTGCAGACGTACGATACGCTGGCGGTATGGTCAGCGGCGGCGAGGAATTTGAACATTAGTGTGAAGGCATGGACAAGCCGCCATTTCAGATAGAGATGAAGCTGATCAGAAGAATCCAGTTCTTAGGCTGTTAGCCATCCAAAACCTTTGGAGAATCCAAAACAACTAAACAATATAAATGTCATCAACTTTGTTTGGAAAATGGTAGGGTTACAACAAAACTATACCCCCAAACGTACACCATTCCCTGCATTCCTACATATTTTCGCATGTAAAATAAAAAGAAATAAACAAAATGAGTGATAATGGAAGGAGTAGTGTACATTTGAGGTATACTTTTGGTGTACCTCTAACATTCCCCATTTTGTTTTTCTATCCAAAATTAAACTTGCTCCTATCTCTTAAAGATAAGTGCAATAATCTCACTCTTCTTTCTTAAATTAATTTACAACGTTAAATTTTATCATTTTTAAATTATTTTTATAATTCATTTATTAAGATAAATTGTATTGTCATATAAATTTTTATTTAAATATATAAATTTTAGAATATAATTTCACCTCAATCTCTTATAAATTGATAAAAAATAATTTCATTTAGACATTATAAATCGAAAGATGAAATCTAAATTATGTGTGTGTGTATAATGATTTTAAAATAAATTTAGTTAAAAATAACTTTAATGAAACATCATAAAATAAATTTTCTTTTTTTTTTGTTCAGATAAAGTATTTCATTTGAATTTCTTTTCAATCATTTAAGCTATGACCCAGTTATATTCAATTTATTTTTCTACTTATTACTTATGTCAATCAAATCAAATCACAAAAAAATAGCGAACCTAATATCTGCTAATAAAAGTACAAATACTCGGTGTAAAAGATTTTATATTTTAAATGATAATTTCCCTTTTTTTACAAATACAAGTACTAGGAAAGTGCTAATGTATGACATTCATATAAAACACCCGAAAATGGGTACAACACCCCCACAGGCGTTGAGAAAAAGGTTGTTTTTTGGTCCGTGCTCTGGCTGCTATCTGTTAAAAAGTTTATAATGTTGTGCAGAATCTGTTAGGTTTGTGGATGCTTGGGCTTGACTTTTGGCCCGGCCCATTTTACGAAACCCTAGATGCACTCTTCCTATATGTATATTGCATTCTTGTACTTGTAATCAGTACCACAAGTGAAATAAGAAAATCCTCCCGTTGCAGCCGTGGATTAGGGAAACCGAACCACGTTAAATTCTTGTGTGTCGTTTGTGTTCTGTTTCTCTCGTTTCTCGCAAATTATTTGTGTGTGTTGTGTGTTTAATCCCCAACAAGTGGTATCGGAGCCTGGTTGTTCAACACGAGAACACGAATAACGAGAAGCTGTCACCAGGGTTCTTGGAGTAAGAACCGTGTGCCATCTGAGAAGAGGAAGGAGCGTCCGTCCGTTTCGTTCGGATCTGTGATAGCCACTGCTAGGATCTGAACAGTCGCCGGTGTGAGGGCCGCGCCGGAGTGAGTCGCGCAGCAGGGGAGAGAGCCGCAGCCTTGGGGTTGCCTCGCTGCCGCTGTCGCGCAGCCTTGGTCTCCTGCCGACCGCCGCAGGCGCTGGGTAGGGCTTCGCGAGCAGCTGGTCGCGCCGCCCAGTACCCACCTTCTAAATCGCCGCCGCTGTCTGAGATCCGCCGCCGCCGGGTTGAGGAGCCACCGCCGGGTTGAGGAGCCGCCGTCGCCGCTGAATTGAGGAGCTGCCGCCGTAGGTCTGACCCGCGCACAGCTTCGTCGGAGAACACAGGACAGCAGCCGGTAGAGAGCAGCCGTCCTCCAGATTGCACGCCGTCCAGAAGGAGCCGCCGCCGCCGGATCTGTTTGTAGCCCTACGAAACAACAAAGAAGAGGAAGAAAACGGCAGTGGTTTCTTTCCTTTTTATTTGGGCCGTGATTATTGGATATTAGGCTGATTTGTTTTGCCTAATTTAATTGGAGTGGTGGGCTTGATTTTCTGACGAAAAAAAATATACCAAGATCTGAAATTAGTTGTACCGGGTATCTCGTCTAGTTGTGTGATATGGCAGAAGACGGGAAGTTCCGAATTGAGAAGTTTGATGGTACAGATTTCAGTTGGTGGAAGATGCAAATTGAAGATTTGCTGGTTCAGAAAGATTTGGACGTGGTATTGGGTGACAAGCCAGAAAAGATGTCGGATGCAGATTGGGCAAGTTTGGATCGGAAAGCTATGTCTGTGATCCGTCTCTCATTGACCAAGAATGTTGCGTTCAACATTCTGAAGGAGAAGACAGCGAAGGGAATTATGGACGCGCTGTCTAACAT